CACGTCTTAGCCTACTTGCGAGTAGCATCTTCAAACCATTTTCAAACAAAAAAACATGAGATGTTTTGTTCCGACTTAGGCGATTTAGTCTATACTTGCATGCTGTGCGCATCACGTAGTAAGCTAGCTAATAATCCGGAATAAGAACACATGTGTTTTCAAAAACAACATATCATGCTTAGTAAAGGCCGATCTTTTTGATCGGGTGAGCGGGGGTGCCCATTGCATGACCTTCCCCTCTCGTACCCAAGTTCCCGAGCCGAGGCAACTTTGGTGATGACGGACACGTGGCCTTAGGCACGAGTCAGGATTTCCTAAATTTCTCAAAACAAAAAACATTTAGGTGGCGACTCTGTATCTGGCAAAGCAATCCATGTTTGACACTTCTTTATTAAAATTAGTTTTTTAAAATGATTTATCGGATTTGGACTCTTTGGTGATTTATCGATCTTGCATTGCACTTTGTGAGATTAGATTTAGAACCGTGACATTAAGTCCGAACTGTAGCAGCTAATGAACAAACCGGATTTCGCGCCATTTGCGCGTGGTGCCGGGACGTTCGGGCACATCTACAGAAGCAAGTCTAGTAGTAGAGAACAAGAAAGCAGCGGGAAAGATTCAAGCAGTAGGACAAGAGGATGACCATGTAAACAACCATAAAGAGATCTAGGGAGTTCGGTTTTGGAATTAGTCAGTAAGAAGGCAGAGGAAAAGGGGCATAAAATTCGCAAGATATAAATGGCCAATCTATTCCCAGAACGTGGAACACTGTCAATCTGAAGTTTTATTCTAAGTTCTACTTTTGTAACCCATTCTACTATTGATGTAATGAAACAAGTAGACTGTTTTCTTGAAAATAATTGTATTTTCACCTCACCAAGCAGATTTAGTGTGATCCAAAGGGCAATTGCTAATCATTTTGACGGAAAGATCAGAATTCCTTGCCAGACTGATTTTGCACGACAAGATGAAAGTTGGTGTTTTGTTCAACTTTGGAATTCCTCGCTGGGCGAATTTTGCTCAGCAAGAGGTTTGTTGATGGTTTTGTTTAACTTTGGAATTCCTTACCGGGTAAATTTTGTTCTGCAATAGATTTGTTAATGGTTTTGATCAATTTTAGAATTCCTTGGCGAGCGGATTTTGCTCCCCAAAAAGCAAGTTATTGAGCTGATTTTGCTTGCCGACCTTGGAATTCTTTACCGAGTTGATTTTGCTCGCCAAGAAGCAAGTTGTCAAGCTGACCTTGCTCGCCAACTTTGAAGTTCCTTGCCAACTAGATTTTGCTCACCAAGAAACAAGTGGCTGAGCTGACCTTGCTCCCCGACCTTGGAGTTCTTTGTCGTGCTGATTTTGCTCACCAAGAAGCAAGTTGCCAAGCTGACCTTGTTCGCCAACCTTGAAGTTCCTTGTCGACCGGATTTTTCTCGCTAAGAAGCAAGTTGATGAGCTAACCTTGCTTGCTACTTTGAAGTTCCTTGCCGAGCTTATTTTGCTCTCCAAGCAGCAAATTGCCGAGCTGACCTTACTCGCCAACTTTGGAGTTCGTTGCCTAGCTGATTTTGCTTGCCAAGAAGTAAGTTGCCGAGCTGACTTTTCTCCTCTACCTTGAAGTTCCTTGCCGAGCTGATTTTGCTCGCCAAGAAGCAAGTTGCCAACCTGACCTTGCTCGCCAACCTTGAAGTTCCTTACTGGTTGGATTTTGCTCACCAAGAAGTAAGTGGCCGAGCTGTCCTTGCTCCCCGACTTTGGAGTTCCTTGCCGAGCTGATTTTGCTCTCCAAGAAGCAAGTTGCCGAGCTGATCTTGCTCGCCGACCTTGGAATTCCTTGCTGAGTTGATTTTGCTTGTCAAGATGCAAGTTGCCGAGCTGACCTTGCTCGCAAACTTTGGAGTTCTTTGCCGAGCTGATTTTCCTCGCTAAGAAGCAAGTTGCCTAACTGATGTTGCTCTCCAAGAAGCAAGTTGCCAAGTTGACCTTGCACCCCGACCTTGGAATTCCTTGTTGAGCTGATTTTGCTCCCCAAGATGCAAGTTGCCCAGCTGACCTTGCTTACCAACTTTAGAGTTCTTTGCCGAGTTGATTTTGCTCGTTATGAAGCAAGTGGCCGAGTTGGCCTTGCTCGCCAACCTTGGAGTGCCTTGCCGAGCTGATTTTGCTGGCCAATATGCAAGTTGTCGAGCTGACCTTGCTCGCCAACCTTGGAGTTCCTTGCCGAGCTGATTTTGCTCACCAAGATATAAGTTGCCGAGCTGACCTTGCTCGCCAATCTTGGAGTTCCTTGCCGAGTTGATTTTGCTATCCAAAAAGCAAGTCGCCGAGCTGACCTTGCTCGCAAGCTTGGAGTTCTTTGCCTAGCTGATTTTGCTCGCCAAGATGTAAGTTGTCGAGCTGACCTTGCTCGCCAACTTTGGAGTTCCTTGTCGAGCTGATTTGCCAAGGAAGTTACCAAGTCGATTTTGCTCGCAAGAAGTAAATCGTCGAGCTAAGTTTATTTTGCTTACCAAGGAGTTGCACTGATTTCGCTCGCCGCGAAGTAAATCGTAGAGCGAAGCTGGTTAAGTGGTTAACACGAAAATCGAAGAATATTTTAAAAATTTTGAGCTATGAAGATTTGTGTAACAGTGCAGCGCGGGCCCCGAAAACAAGTGATGAAACTTGACTGAGCTATCATGAAGCTAGATGATAAATCAAGTTGAAATGAAGATTATACAAGAATAAAGTAATCCCATTCAGGTTGCAATCAATGAGCTTAAGGGGGCAATTGAGAGGGAAAAACCCAATGAGCAGAATGTGCCGAGCTATGTATGTGCTCGGTGGAGAAGTGTGGGCTGAGCTATGTATGCAATTGAGGGGAATTTACACTGAACAAAGGACCGGACTACATGTGAAATGGGCCGACCTAAGGATAGTCCGAGCTAATGACACCGTCCTCTGTATAGATCGAGCAATGTTTGGCCGAGCCGCGGTTGACCGGTTGGACAACTCGGAGTTGAGCCGATTGATGGAAGTTGGTAAACGGCCTTGTGCCGGGTTATGAGTAGCACGACAGGAGTCGCTATGTGGCCTAATTGGAGTGCGAGGAGGAAAACCCACTAGTAGTTGTGCGTCAATACTGTTTGGTGATTTGGCCAAATATTGTACACGTGTAAAGAATAAAAAAGGTAGTACAACCATGTATCCAAAAAAGGACGAACAGAGTGGTGCGCACAAAAGCTATTTAAACTGTGCGGCTCCTCCGTACAACAAGCCTAAAAAAATCTTGTGATCAGAGCTCACCTACCACTTTGTCTTTTCTCTCTCTCTTCCTCTCTAAGGATGCTAACTTGATCATCGGAGGAACTTTCTGGCAGCATACCCGTTGGGTAGCTCACTGCCGTTGAATTCTCAAATTATTCGGAGCGAAGCGAAGTCTGGACACGAGGAATACAGATAGCGACAAATGTTTGCTCCCCGTACATTTTCTTTTCCATTTAACCAAACAAGTGTAAGAAAAATCACAATTATTTCTTTTCTTTTCTCTCATAATTTAACAAATCTTTTTTTTTCTTTTCACTCCTAAATATCGAAACACATTGTCAGTTTTTAACATAAATGTCATTCAAAATCAATAATGGAATTGGGAGTATTTTTTGAAATTTTACAAAAAAATCTCAAGAAAATCAAAATGACTAAATACACACAGAATTTAAAAGTATGCATTTTGTAACATTTTAATTTCCAAAATATGTAGTTTTATTTTATTTTAATCTCCAAATTATGTATTTTTTTTAAAACATTTTTTTGTCCCTAATATTTTAATTTTGTTACATTTTTTGTGTGTGTAAATTTATGAAAATATTCCTTCTTCGGTTATTAAGTTTGAACCGTGCTAATTTTAGAGATCAAAGTTAGATTACAAACTTTGAGAACCACTTACACAATTAACTCACAAATTATTTAATAAAAATTAATTTACTGCACTCAAAAAAATTCATATACATCAAATTTTTAAAATTCCAAGCCAAACATTATCTAAGATGGGTAGTAATAACTGGGGTTTCTGTTTATTTTCTTTAATACACAAATTTGAATTTTTTTTTTCCCGTGCATTTTCTGTTTGGTTGTTTTCATTGTCCGGTTCATATATTATCAACAACTTTGACAGGAAAGCAAAGCACCATCTTGTAGTTTCTCTATTGTGCCCAACTTTTCGGTTTCTTTTGCCATTTGTATTGGTTTGGATAGTAAGAGAAATGCTTAACCACCTATTTTATCATCTCTAATTAGACCTTTAATAAGTTAACAAACAATATTAATTAATTAATTAATTAATTAATTCTTTTCAAACTCTTCTCTCTCATTTCAAAATTATTTACCACCTCATTAGAGGTACAATTGACGGTGATAAAATGTGAAATATAACAAAACTCGAATAGTAAATAGCTTATGGAATTAATTAACATTTGATATTTTGTCTATATATATAGAGTTAAGATTCTCTCATATTGAGATGTCAACATGAGAGAATTTGAAAGGCTCGTAAGATCTACTACGAGTCTCATTTTGATGATCTAAACTATTCATTTTGTAAATCCGTCAATGTAATCCATGAAAAAATTTAAATCAATCTGATAATCGTAACATTTTCATTTTATTACATTTGTCTTTAAAAAAAATAGACATTCAATTTCAAAAATATGTTTATCGTCTATTTTTTCAGAGATAAATGCAACAAAATAAAAAAATTATGATTATTGAATCTAACTAATTTTTTTTTATAGATAATATGCATTAAGAGCCCTATAATGAACGATTTGGGTCATCGAAACGAAACTCTTGATGAACTCTATAGGCTTCTCAAGTTTTCTCATGCTAAGATCTTAACATGAGAAAAACCCAACCTATATACATATATATGTACGTGGTTGTGTTTGACTTTAGGTCGAATTTGGACCAAACCAGGAGCTCATAGCTGGTGGTTTTCCATTGGATGGTGTCTTTTGATTGGTAACCAATAGGTGTGTATAAATACACTCCATACATCAATGTTACAATTGTTAATAACACTGAAATGTCTGGAGTGTGAAAGCTTTTGTTCTGTGAATTCAAGGTGTCGCTCGATCAATGTAACGTAACCACATTGCCTGAGTAAGAAGCGCACATGAATCATTCACCATAGTTCCAAGTAAAAGCCTAATGTTTTTCTTGAACTGCTTCAGCATTCCTACATGAATCATTCACCAGAGTTCAAGTAAAAGCCTAATGTTTTTCTTGAACTGCTTCAGCATTCCTTATGTTTACTCCTACGCATATTCAGCGTCTCTCCATGTGGTCTCCACTACTAATTCATGAACCCTCGACTTTGGAAGCTGTTTAGATCCAGCTCATAAACATAGCAGGCAGCACCAAAGGTGGATACATAATGGCTGTCGCTAAAGGTAAAATCATACATAATGAAGGTCATTATAGCCGAAGGAGCTCTTGTGGATCACAAAGAAGGTGAAATCAGAGGGCCACTGAAATATGATATTTCTTAGTTTTCCTGCTCTGACAAATGCCGATCACTTTCGCATGACACTGTCTAGATATGCATGATCTCCTTCACCAGGTTGGCCATAGAGCTTGTGTAGTTTGAAACAAACATTCAATCTCATACAATCAACCTTCTTGGTATCTCCTCCTGCCAACAGTCGCAAGCAAATACACAAACCAGTACAAGCAACTTGTGTCACAGCCTGACAAGCCTCTTCATAGAATAACAATTTTTTTTTTTTTTTTTTTTTTTTTTTTTTTTTTTTTTTGCAAAAGGAGTCCCCCACACTCAATTGAGCTGGAATCTGTCCATAGAACACATAAAATGCACTTGAGAGATCTCAAAATTTTGATGCTTCATCACTTCTCATTGTTATATGCTCACATGCCACAACTTTTGACAAAATAAATAAGGGGGGTTGCTCAAGGACATAGCTGCTCATTGGTCATCATTCACACATGCAAAAATTTTGAGAGCTTCTAATTACATCAATAAATGTCTCTCCACACCTACATGTACATCTTTCACAGGCATATAATGTGGCAGGTGTAAAGAGAAATTTGAGGTGTGTATTTAGAAGCTCTCCGCAAGTTTGGGTGCTTCTAAAGACACCCAAAAACCTTCTCTCCTCATCCATCCCTTGCGAAGTTGCGAGAGGGGATGGGAGTGATGAGAATTCTTTAGAGTGTATTTAAAAGCACCCGCAAGTTTTGGATTCATTACCTTTCTTTTTCACTTTGAAACAGCCAGATAAAATTGTCTTCTTTGAGAACAACTAAAGTAGGGAGAGTTCAACAATTCTCCAAACAATTAGATGGTAAAAGCCACCAAACTCTTTGGATTTAAACAACATATATTACAAAATACAAAGTTTCCCGCCCTTGGAATCCACATTCTGCAGGTGAAATCTTGATTGAATGATTCCATTGGATTGTGCCTTCTCTATCATCACTCAACCAAGTGAGTTGATCAAGGGTAGTTTAGCATTCGCATCAAGAAAACCCCGTATAATCACATCACGGGGCAGGTTCAAAACTTGATGTGATCTTCGCTCTTCAATCAAGATTACCAGATGCTGACGTGCCCGCTTCATATTGAGCATGATGGCAGAATGTGGGATATTTTTAAGGCATGGGAATCAAAAATAGATTTAGCATGGGGAGGAAAAAAACATACCTAGTTGAACAGAAGTTCATTGGCATATTGATAAGAATCCCTAGCTACATTGCTCTTCCTCATCATCCTCTTCTTCGTCCTCGTCAAAATCAGTAGAAGCAGGCTGCCCATTAAGATCCACATTTATACCATTCATCTTCCTTACAAACTGTCCCCGTACACGAGGTCTCCTTTCGGCAAGCCTTTTCCGGTTAACATACCTAACCTTCTTGTCAAAACAACGTTCTTTCCTCTTCTGCCTAAACTTCATCAAGGCTGCCTCTCTCCTATCAACTTTACTTATTTTTCCTTCATTGGCCGATGGACTTCCATGTGAAGGCCATTGATGGGTTGCAGGCATTTGACCCGGTTGTGTGTATATGCTAACTGGGTGGTAATAGGGAAATGATGCCATACCTTGAACATGAGGACGACAATGCGGCGGAATATGACCATACTGAGGCAACATATGGTTTGGCAGATCTTGAAGATTATTTTGATGCATTTGTGCCGATGACATCATAACTTGATTCATTACGCCTGAAATATAATATGGATAAGCAGTATGCGCATGAAATCCCGATACATCTCCGTGAAACTCATTGTTCAGATGCATATGCAACTGAGCAAACTCTTCCATCTTTGAGTTGTTCTGTTGTGGAAATTCCATTAACACAGGGGGAGTGGAAGATCTCTCCATACAAAGAGAATCAGGGTTACTGCTACTGCCTGGAAAGTCATCTCCTTGAAAATGGCTTTCCTGTGCCTCTTCATTCTCGCAATCTTGGGTATCATTGCCCGCTTGTCCAACCCGTGCATTAAGTTTGATTTCAGTGCTCAAATCTCGAGTAGCAATTTCATCATCAGGGGCAACCCCTTGGGTATTGCTTTTGGGCATGCTTGATTTGACATAAGTGAAAAAGGCTGAAGACTCACCAATTCTTAGTTTATTCTTCTTTGGACATGATGTGAATTGTCCTGAAAATATTCCCACAACTTTTTATTAGTAAAGAAACCTGAAATGTCATTCTTGATGTAAATTATTTAACATACAGCAAAACAAGAGCTAAAAGAATGAGCAAGACCATAAATTGGCTAGTTTAAATTGAAGCTAACACACTATTAGATCACTACTAGTCCCAAAAGCTTTAAGTTGTTAGGAAATGGACCCAACAATATATATCAGGCTAACATCCTCCCTCACATGCAACCCATCTCGCACTTGGATTGGCAAACAGATCAAGTGAACAAAATGCACAAACACAGGCAGAACATAGTGCACAATGACAGAGATAACAAAGGTGACAAGACTTGAGCCCAGGCACAATGACAAAGATAACAGGGGTGGCAAGACTTGAACCCGGACTTCTTGGAATCAAAACTTCAATACTATGTTAAAACAGCAATCAACACTAGTCCCAAAAGTTTAAGCTGTTAGAAAATTGACCCAACAATGCATATCAAGCTAACAGACTGTGTAAACAGCAAAGCTATTGTTTGATACCCAAACAAACCACATGCAAAAGGCAGTTGATGCAAAACCACGAGGAGTGCTCACCTGTTCGGTGGTCACTAATTCCCGGCACAACTGGTTGATAATCCAGTGAATCCGTTAGTGAAGGCTCTACAGGAGCAGCAGCAGTGGGAGCATTTAACTGAAAAGTACAGATGCACACCGAAAAAAACGTGCACACAAAAAAAAATGTTAGTTTAGATATTGCTACTCACAAAGCAAAATAATTGTTTAACTATATACAACAGCTACAGAATAAACACTAGCCTCAAGTCATTTTACAGATGGAAACAGCACTTGATTAGTAAAGCTCTCTCAGTGAATCCTTCGCTGTTGTTGCAGTAAAATAGTTGGGGAAGCCAACAAACAGTAATGCATTTAAAAAATGTCAAGTTAATGGTATTTCTGAAACCACAACCACCATTACAACTGTATATGTATTGCATGATAACTGCATATGTATCATATGTAACCCACATTTTATAGCAAGTATCATGTGTATCTTAAATACCATCATGCCAAAAAATATGCAGCTAAAATGTGGCACATTGACAATAATGATAAATTTTCCTCAATAATTGCCTAATTCCACTGTCTTCGGAAGAACATAGAATATATTTCCTTCCCATCTTCTCTTCTTTAATAGGAAAATTTGCTGTTTTAATTTTATTGTGCTTATCCAAATTTCACAGCCCCCGTCCCCCTTGAAATGATTTCACCAATTACTAACTCACAGTAGACAATAAATACCAATTCCTAACTTCCATATATTTGAACCAAGTTATCCATTTATTAAAATCTTTTACATTTTCTATACCTTAGTTCCTTCATTTTTCATGTAGTTTTCTCGAAGTTATCAAGCACTGTATACCTTAAAAATTCATATTTCAATACCACATTAAAAAAAAAGCCTTTTATTTCATACACAATATGTAAGCTCTTAACTAGCAGCCTTTCTTGCAACCTATTATATATCACCTTCATTAGTAACATGTACAGAGGATGTTGACACCCATTTTGCCCACCAGTCATGTTTGAGGACACAAAATTTCAAGACTACACAACTGCACACCTGTATCTGAGTGCATACATAATACAAATATCAGTTTCTACTTTGTAATACATTATTCAACAATCTAAAATTTTTCTGCTTTCTTTTATTTATATTGTTAATGTCTTTTTCATCAGTCATTAAAAACGCTGTCAAAGAAATTGCAAAACTAATTTTTCAGATAATAGTATTCAATTTATTTTTTAAAAAAATATTTATCAAAATCTAATAAAAAATGGAAAGCTGTTTGTTTGTTAATTTTCTATAAAACTAAGGCCTCGTTTGGCAAGAGGCTATTTTAGCCAATTAGCCAAAAAGTTACTAAATTAGCCAAAAAGCCAACAACCCATACCAAAAAGTCAAAGATTCTCTTTTCTCTCTACTTTTTGCACATCTTTTCGTAATTAGCCAAAAAGTCATCCCAAACATACAAGTTTTTTTTACCTACCTTTTTAGCCAAATAGCCAAAAAGTTACTAAATTAGCCTGTTCCCAAACGAGGCCTAAATATTATTTTTCTTTGCATAATGGAAATGCTATTTTCAAATATATAAAAATGCATCTAGCTAATTTTTGTGAAATTCTAACCATGAAAATTAGTTTTGTTAAAAAAGAAAACAAAAAGACAATAATAATAAATCTTATTTTTATTATTAGATAAGAGCAACCTTAGTTAATGGACTAACATCATCTCCAAAAAAAATTCAACCTTGGCCCTCAACCAAATTGCCCTTAAATGTCCACCCTTAATCTAGATTTCATATATATATATATATATATATATTACATAAAGTATTAAGTCACGCAGGAGACATCTTGAATTTGGGGAAAAAGAGAAAGATATTGGACATATAGAGAAAGAGAAGGAAGCAAAAATATAGAGATGGAGGGCTATCAGCCACGACTAGCCACTCTATCCTCTCTCCTCCACCTTTGGTGGTCACAACCACCACGGCACCAGGTCCTCTCCCTTTCCCTCTCTTCTTCATTCTTCCACTTTGACCAGTAGCCCACATCCATCAACAAAGAGCCAACTGGCCACCTTTGTAGACCTCTGACTAAAGCTACCCACTTGCCTCAGTAACCCCAACCAACCCTTTTACTCTTTTCCTAAAAAGGTCCAATTCTGTTAAACTCATGTTTTTGAAATGACCAATTAATTCAAAAAAAAAATTCCTAAAACACATGTTTTGAAGATGACATCACACGCTTGAACTAAACGTTAGGTAGTGACCACTATTATCAAACCAAGGCCATATGTCAGCTTTAAGATCATTTTTCAATGCCAAATAAAACATTAATTTTCTGACTCATTTTCCTAAAAATAGTATGGGTCAATATTGGAATGTGGCAAAAGCATGATGTTCATAGACAAGACACATAAGGATCACACTAATGTTTCAGATTTCAAAAGGGATAACTTCTCATCAAACTATTCATAAAATCATATGAACAACCCTGTCTAATGTCTTTCAGTGCACAATCTAGTGTCACCAGCATAAAAAGGTTTTTTAGTGATCTTTAAATTACCATAATTTGCCTCTGTATCACTATGACCTCATCTTCCTGATGGGTTGACACACATATCTCTGGATTTGCACTCTTCCGGGACTTGTCGTCTGTGTCATCTGAGATCAGAGTAGTGCTGTTTGTATTAGCATCACTAGGGTCTGATGCCACAAGATCAAAGTCATAGTTCAACATGTTCTTATCTGCCAATCCAAGCTGCCCACAAAAAAGAATAAACGACAATAAGAATATCGCTCTATAGAGATGAGATGAATATTTTTTTTTGTTGTTGATAAATTAGAGATGAGATGAATAATACAAAAACCATAAGAAAAGCATACCAGCATACAAGCATACACTTATACAATAAACAACATTCAGACAGGAAGTGTCAGAATGGGATATGAAATATAGAAAACAATGTTTGGTTGGCTATTAGAAATTATTAATACCATGCATTCTTTGACTTGAATGGAAAATGCATGATAGGGGAAGAGGGGAGCTTTCAAATAACAAAAGAACATAAAGCATTACGTACCATTCGCCTTCTCCTCCACATGTGAGTCCATAAATTTAACAGTTCATTAGTGCGTAAAGGCTTCACAAGATAGTCAGCTGCTCCAAGTCTCAAACACTTGACAACGATAGATACCTCATCTTGTGCCGACATCACTTGGAAAAACAAAAACAGGAAAAGGAGGATCAGTTTCTAATCTACTACAATAGAAGAAAGCAAACATTTGGGGAAAACAGTGATGTAAACAAGGCCAAACTTACTGATCACAGGAATGCGTCGCAACTCTTTATCCCTCATTATGTATTTCAGCATCTTCAATCCTTTCGCCATAGGAATGTCAACTTCAGACAAAATGATATCTATGTCTGGCCCCTCAGCATTCAGTGCATCAATCACTTGCCTGGCTGACCTCACCGAAGTTACTGCAAAGCAACAGTTGCCAATAGGCAGCATAAAAAATGTACATTACCTTGAGATGTAAGTACAAGTACATCAAATTAGTGGACTCAATAGAGGAGCTCTCCATGCGGATGAATTAAAATATCAAACTAATTACAAGAAGAAGAAAACAAAAGGTTATGGCAAAAATGGCAAACAAAAAGCTTTTAGTTTAAGTTGAAGTGGCACAAATTGACAATATGCTATGAAGCATGGGTACTTCGATAAACATGTCATACCTGTACTGGATACTTAGCGGCGTACAGTACTTCGTAGGGTACTTTTGCATACATATCAGGTACACGAAACACGTACTCAAATTTTTTCTTCATAATTTTTGACGTCCGTAATATATACTCAAGTCGTTCTGTATTTTAGTCGAAACAATATTTTCTTCTATTACAGAGATAAAATTCCTTTCAATAGACTTCATCGTTATTTTTAGTTTTATGCTTAGCATGATTTTAAAATTAAATTATGGTTTGTAAGTTATTCAATTACTTTTGGCATTAAATGTAAAATTTTAGGTTGTATCTTAACAAACTAAACAATTTAATCAATTTTTGCATTAATCCAAATTAAAAATAAATATTTTTTTTACAAAAGTGCCAAACCGTACCCTACTTTTTTAGATTTTACCATATCGACGTACCCGTATCGTACTAGTACCAGTACTCGTACTTGTACCCGTGCTTCATCATACATGTGCTTCATCAACAATATGAAAGGAATTAACACAAACGTCAATTGCAAATAGGCTGATTGCATCAGTGACTCAAAATCAAGATGGCTATCGAAACTCGTGGGTGTCACTAAATTAAAGCTATTGTAGAGCACTGTTGGTGCTAAAGTCCCGAAATCTAGCTGAATGGCTGTTCTTTGAGTTTCTTGCCATTTATCGAAGACTGCAAGCACTCCATAGTCATTACAACATGTAGATTCAGATAAAAGAAAACTAAAAGAACCACACAAAGAAAATTATATATATATATATACATAATACATCCCTCATGCTCTCTTTGTACCAAAATGCCATTTCTTGACAAAACATTCATGCTTAAGTTAAAGAAGCTGAATTCAAGTTTATCAAACTGCAAAAAGACCCTGTCATCATATTTTGTAATATTAAACTTGAAGCAAAGAATTGCTATGAAATGAGTCAATATTGTTCCACTGGTATCGTCCAATAATAACAAACACAGATCAATAACTATACATACTTGCTGCTTTTTCAAATAAAAATAATTACTTTGTAAGAATTCATATTCATATTCCAAATATGCTATTTTCTCAAAATAATTACTAGTTCCAAATCAAACTAACACCATATAATTCATATTCCAAATCCCAGAACTAACACAACAGAAAATGAAACTAAAATCTATCACAGTACAAATTCAAGACTTCATAAAAACAGTATCAGAAGAACCAATACCTTGATAAGAGCATTTGCGTAGAAGCCTGACAACCTCTTCAGAACTCTTGGCATCGTTGTCGCAAAGCAAAATCCTCACTTTGCTGCGATCAATAAACGCATCACTGCCCTTACCACCACCACCACCACTTGGACCTCCATCTTTGTCCAGCACAACAATCTCATCCCTCTCCATCTTCTCAATTTCAACCAAGCTCACAACATCAGCTACCCATACACCTCCATCAAAATTAGGGTTTTCAGATTCACAGAACACTATATAACCTCTTTGAAATTAGGGTTTCGAATTCACAAACCGACTTTAGAGACAAAAACCTAATTTACAGACAAGAAGAGCCCCGAAACCGAACTGTCAAAAGTTTGGCAACTGATCAGGAAAGTCGATCTATCCGACGGTCCTGATCGGGCGAAGACTGTAGAATCAACGTCCGGATTTAGAGAGAGAGAGAGTCGAAGTCGTCTTCTTCTTCTTCTGGTCCGTCTCTCAGCTACAGGCTTTTTTCTAGCTAAGGCGGTAGTGGTGGTTGCTAATTTGCGCTGGGAACAGAGGGATGATCTGGAGCGTTGGGAGTGAGTGGAACGGAGGGTTGGGATTGGTTTTGAGGTGATTAATTATTCAGGATTAACATGGCTAATTGTTTATGTTTTAAACCAATCATGTCGAAGAATTTTAAGGGGATTTGGGCCTAGCTATTTAGGTTTGTTTTGTTTATGATTTATAAGTTGATTTTTTTAGTTATTACAAAAAGGTGTAATAAACAAAAAAAAAAAAAAAAAAAAAAAAAAAAAAAAAAAAGAAAGTAAAGAAGTGATGTGGTCTAAATAAATCAATAAGGGAGTGTTTGTTTTGAAAGGATTGGGCATGTGATTAGATTATTAGTTTGGGTGGACTAATAGTCTGTTGTTTGTTTCAAAAGTTTTGTTTCAGACTAATAGTCTCTCGGAACTATTAGTCCCATATTTGTAGGACTATGCTATCCCATGGGGGGTGGGATAGAAACCATGAGATAACTCATCCCATGGGATTAATTAATAAAATTATATTTTTATCCTCTAGTATTTAATTATGTATTATATTGAGTAAAATTCAATAAACCAAACAGGTTTTTATTTGAGTTTTTTAAATTTTTGTAAATATAAATAGAAAACCGAAAACGTAAGTGTTACCAAACGACACCTAAGTGTTACCAAAAGGCACCTTAGTAATTTATTGATTTTTTACAAAAATATGTATAGAAAAATAAAGAAATTATGTGATAACTTATAAGAAATAAGTCAATAAAAAAATTATTTAGGCCTCGTTTGGGAACATGTTAATTTAGCCTCCGTTTGGGAAGTGGGTTGGCTTTTTGGTTTTTTGGCTTTTTTGGCTATTTTAGCCTGGGCTAAAAAGTTTAGTTTGGGAAGGGCTTTTTGGCTTTTTTGGCTTTTTTTGTGAGAGAAGAATGTAATGATTATGGGTTGGATGTGATGTTTTGTTTTTTGTGGCTAAAATAGCCTATTTTGTCTTTTGTGGCTAAAATAGCCAAAAAAGCCCCGTTTAGCTCTTGCCAAACGGAGGCTTAGTAACTTTTTGGCTATTTGGCTAAAATATGAACTAAAAAAAACTAGTATGTTTGGGATGACTTTTTGGCTTTTTACGAAAAAATGTGCAAAAAGTAAAGAGAAAAGAGAATATTTGACTTTTTGGTATGGGGTGTTGACTTTTTGGCTGATTTAGTAACTTTTTGACTTTTTGACTAAAAATAAGGATTCCCAAACGAGGCCTTAGGTGGTACCCAAACCACCCCTTACTTTCTTTTAAGTTGAGTAGACAAAAATAATTCACTTACACTTTGGGTTATATGATGTAGTTTATTTTACTAATAATTTTTTTTATACGATTATTTTGGGAATTAATTATTTTAATTAATTTTTTTATTTTTATAAAAGGCGTAAAAAAAATATAGGTAAGAGTTGACTTTTGATAATAATTTTTTGATTTTTAACTATTTTATGTGGTTCTTAAACTTGGTTCAAGAGTTTGTGTGAGATTGTTTGGTATTAATTCTATTTATTGCTTACTAAACAAAAATAATTTAATTGAACTAAAAAAAATTATTTTTAAAAATGAGTAAACAGTACTTTTGACTTCTACTTTTCTATTATCAATTTTTAATTTATAATAAGTTAAACCTTTGTTTTGAATAAATTAAAAACTTACATATTTTTAAATTATTTTGTCTTCAATGAATTTTTTTTTTTATAAAAAAAATTTCTGTCAAATAATTTTACTTTCACATCCACTTTTAGAAGAATTAAAAAGTAAAAAAATGAAGAAAAAAAAAACTAAAAAAAAGTCACTAAGGCCTCGTTTAGGAACATGCTAATTTAGTAACTTTTTTGCTATTTGGCTAAAATATGAACTAAAAAAAATTAGTATGTTTGGGATGACTTTTTAACTTTTCACGAAAAGATGTGCAAAAAGTAGAGAGAAAAGAGAATCTTTGACTTCTTAGTATGAGTTATTGGCTTTTTGGCTAATTTAGTAATTTTTTGACTTTTTAGCTAAAAATGAAGATTCCCAAACAAGGCCTAAAATTCCAAAAAAAGTCAATAAACAGCTGTTTTAGTATTTATTTTAATTTTTTTCCCCTAACTTTTCATGTCTATCTAGAAGGATAGAATCTAAAATTGTTTTAAAAATTTAAAAATTTGATAAAAAATTACAGTGTGAATTACAAATACATCTGGTGAGATTTATTTAAATTACGAATTACATTTTGTAGTTCTATAAATTACATCCTACCCATTAAAAATTTTCATTTCATAACAAATGACTGATTTTTATTAATAAAACATTAAGTCAATTAATAATTTTTAATAATATCACAAATATATTTCAATTAATAATTTAAGTAATTTTTTTATTGTATAGGAGAGACGTTAGGAATTTGTTTTTTGTCAATTAACTCTATTAAATAAAAATTCTAATAATAGAGTATTTATAATTTTTTAAACTATAAAAAATAATTTATATTTTAAATAAATCTCAATTGGTGTATTTATAATTTATCTAAAATTATAAAATATTTCTAGACTCCATCCATCTTGTTGTGTGTTGCAATTTCTCATTAGTCAAAAATACTATCACAATTAGGGGTGCACGTGGTACGATTTGGACGGTTTGAGAGTAAAATTATAAATTAATGACAGATTAGCAGATTGACGGATTGGTAAATTGCAGTTTGAACTGTTTTGAACATATTGACGGATTGAAGAATAACTAATTATCAAGTCTTTACATAATATATAATACTAACTTGAATAATATTTTTCATATATATAACAAAAACTAATTTTGCATAATACTTTTCATATATATGACTATTTATTTGTAATAAATTTCATATATTAAATATCTCTCACATTCATTCTTATTTTGATATTTCATTATAAATTAAAATATATATATATATATATATGTATTAACTATAGTAAAGCGAAACAGTTTCGAAAACAGATTATAAATTTTAAAATTTAAATCGCGATTAGTGGATAAAGCGCTACGAATTGATACAAATCAATACAATTTTAACAGATTTAACGGTATTTTACACAGTTTGGAAAGATAACTTTTAATTATCTTTTCAAAATAAGTCTTAATTTTTTTCTTGGTGGTGGGGGAGGTAGTGCGCGTAGGGGCGCACGATAGCAGATGGTGGGGTGGGTGACGTGGATTGATATAAAAGGAAAAAAGTGCAAAGCAAAGCGTCAAAAAGTGGGAAGATATTATTTTAGGGATAGAAAGAAGGCCACGTCACAGCGAAGATCTCTGGGTCGAGTCGAGATCGAATCAACAAAGGTACAACACGTGGACACTCCAATTTAGAAGACTCCTCTCATTGGTTACAACTTACAAGTGTCCATTTCACCAAAAAATCTCAACAAGTGTGCAAATGGACGATTGTGATTTGCCAATTGTTATCGAATACGATGCCCTACCTGTCGTACCCTGCTGTACCCAAAAAAAAACAGCAATGATAGAGACCCCCTTTATGAAGATCCCACAACCCTCTTTGTGATCCACACCATTCATGATGTGGATCCCGCACATACATGAGTAGGCCCCACACATCATGAATGGTGTAGATCAGTAAGGGGGTTGTAGGGGTCCTCCACAAAGGGGGTCTGACTCATTTTTCAAAAAAAAAATTGTTGAGTTTAAGTTTTCTGAATAAAGTTTTTTGAAAATTGAATTTTTTTTATTTTTGTGTTTTTTTGTTTTTAGTGAATATTTTAAAATTTTAAATTTTTATTTTTTATTTTTTTAGATGTACCTTACTTAGATGTATCTAAAAAGTAAAAAATTTGTAAAAAAATATTTTAAAAAATTAATAAATACATAAAAATATAAAAAATGTCCTGAATTCTTATATTTTTTTTTTATATTTTTGATATTTAGTGAATTTTTAAAGATTTTTTCTACAATTTTTTTACTTTTTAGGTGTATTTATGTTAGGTGTGTCTAAAAAGTAAAAAAATTGCTTAAAATATTTTTAAAAATTCAATAAAAACAAAAAAACACGAAAAATAAGAAAGTAGAGTTTTCTGAAAATTATTTTTGAAAAAATGGAATCAAGTGATTTTTTTTTTAATTTAAATTTCACCCTTATCATAAAATAGAATTATTTATATAGAAACCATTTAAATTATTAAAAAATATCGCTTTAACTCTTTTAAATTATAAAAATATACAAAAAGATATTCTAAATTGTTGAGAAGTATTGCTTTACTCATTCTACTATAAAAGCGGACAAATGAACCCTTAGATTATTGGTGTATTTCACTTTGATCCTTCCATTCGGAGGTTCAGTTTGTATGTTGTTATAGTTTAGGGAGTCTATTTGTAGGTTTTTATAATTTATGAGACAAAAGGATACTCTTCAATAGTTTAAGGGGCCTATTTATATTCTTTTATAATTTAAAGATTAAAGTGATATTTCTTAATAATTTAGGGGTCTTCATGTAAATAACCCAATAAAATAAATCTTGAATTTTTTATTTTGTCAATTCAAATATTAATTTCCTAAAATTTAAATTCTAATAATTAATTTGTTTTCAATCTAAATCATTAAATAAAATAGACAAAAAAATTATATTTTCGTCATTAAACTCAATGAAGGTAAATGTCTAAAATATCCTCTTTCATTGAGTTTAATGACTTAAATATCATTTTTCCTATCAGTTTTACATAACGAAAATAAGCAAATGATTTACATTAAAAACAAATCAAAATTTTAGGTTTTACATTGACAAAATAAAAATTTAAAAATTAATTTTGTTATAAAAGTTAAACTCTATAGTTTTTTTAAATAATGTTTGAAAAAATCTATTACTTTCACCATTTTCAGATTATCTTCAAAAGGGATGTATTTATACAATTTTTATTATTATATGAATCAATATATACGAGTTCATAAATAAGATTAGTAAAATGATTCACTAATATAGTTGAATGGGTCTTGGT